TGTGTGTGTGTGTGTGTGTGTGTGTGTGTGTGTGTGTGTGTGTGTGTGTGTGTGTGTGTGTGTGTGTGTGCGCGCGCGCGCGCGTGTGAGTGTCTCTACTGACTCTTGCAAAATTTCACCTCCCAGATGGTACATTGTGGTCAACCTTTTGCTCCCTTCGTTTAATTTCATTACTTTACACTTTCCTGAGTTGAACTTTAGTAGCCATTTTCTAGACTATTCCTCCAGCTTGTCCAGGTCGTCCTGTAGTCTCTGTTTATCGCCATCTATCTTGATTCGTATCATAATTTTTGCATTATCAGCAAACATTGAGAGAAATGAGTCTATACCTTTTGGAAGATCGTTTACACATATTAGAAACAGGATGGGTCCAAGTACAGAGCCCTGTGGGACTCCGCTGGTGACATCTCGCTACTCTGATGTCATCCCTCTCACAGCAACTCGCTGTATCCTGTTACTCAGATACTCTCTTATCCACTGGAGCACCTTACCTTTTACTCCTGCTCCAACTTTTGTAACATCCATTTATGGGGTACTGTATCCCACCATACTGGGATACTGTGTGTGTGTGTGTGTGTGTGTGTGTGTGTGTGTGTGTGTGTGTGTGTGTTTTGTATCATCAGCTCATGCACAGTAAATAATCTGTAACACCACTCATTCTGGAGTAGTGAAAGCTAATTTACCAGACGTCACAACACTTGTTAATCACTATAGAAAGGGAAAGTCAATACAATGACAGTCATCAGGTGAAAGCATATGTGATCCAGGTGGCGACATTCATCAGGTGAAAGCATATGTGATCCAGGTGGCGACATTCATCAGGTGAAAGCATATGTGATCCAGGAGGCGACATTCATCAGGTGAAAGCATATGTGATCCAGGTGGCGACATTCATCAGGTGAAAGCATATGTGATCCAGGTGGCGACATTCATCAGGTGAAAGCATATGTGATCCAGGTGGCGACATTCATCAGGTGAAAGCATATGTGATCCAGGTGGCGACATTCATCAGGTGAAAGCATATGTGATCCAGGTGGCGACATTCATCAGGTGAAAGCATATGTGATCCAAGTGGCGACATTCATCAGGTGAAAGCATATGTGATCCAAGTGGCGACATTCATCACAGAAGCAAACAGTTGTCCACCTCACAGTGATGCCGCCTCCTCCCCCCTGATGGAGGCACTAGGGGCTGGGATCACATGTAAATGAGAGCTCTGATGGCCTCCTTGCGAGCTGGCCTACATACGGCCCATGGCTCTGGCAATACTGTCCCTCTCCCTCGTAAACCCCTCATACAGAAACTCCTCTCCCTCATCCATCCTCCCCCCCCCCCCCCTCTCTTCCACATCCTCTCCTCCGTCTCCTCCCCCTTGTGTTCACTCAGTACAAACGTCAAAACCCATTACCTGGAGAAATGAATGTAATATCCAAGACCCACTGTAATGGAAAACAAGCTATGAATGCGTAATGAGGTGTACATAGATAAGCGATAAATATCTCACTTACTGGGCGGGTTGGTGGTGGTCCAGGACCGGACCTTACGACCAGCTGCGAGTTTCATTACTTGTAATAAATGTACTGATGTACTCAGTGAAGCCGGCCTCGCTAGCTGGCTCTCGGGGGATGGGGGGAAGGGGTGTTATGGGGGAGGGTGTTAGTGGTGGGGATGATGGAGGGGGTGTTAGTGGTGGGGATGATGCAGGGGGTGTTAGTGGTGGGGATGATGCAGGGGGTGTTAGTGGTGGGGGATGATGGAGGGGGTGTTAGTGGTGGGGATGATGGAGGGGGTGTTAGTGGTGGGGATGATGCAGGGGGTGTTAGTGGTGGGGATGATGGAGGGGTGTTAGTGGTGGGGATGATGCAGGGGGTGTTAGTGGTGGGGATGATGGAGGGGGTGTTAGTGGTGGGGATGATGCAGGGGGTGTTAGTGGTGGGGATGATGTAGGGGGTGTTAGTGGTGGGGATGATGCAGGGGGTGTAAGTGGTGGGGATGATGCAGGGGGTGTTAGTGGTGGGGATGATGCAGGGGGTGTTAGTGGTGGGGATGATGCAGGGGGTGTTAGTGGTGGGGATGATGCAGGGGGTGTTAGTGGTGGTGGTGTTTGTGGTTGTGGTGGTAGATGAAAGGCAGAAGGTGTTGGTAGAAATTTTGATCTACATATTACATATCCTCTGTCTTTGTTTTTTACTTTCTAGTGTCACTGTTCAAATAGTTACTTGCTAGAGCCTTGCTCTAATACTTACTTCTTAGTGTCACTGTTCAAATAGTTACTTGCTAGAGCCTTGCTCTAATACTTACTTCTTAGTGTCACTGTTCAAATAGTTACTTGCTAGTGCCTTGCTCTAATACTTACTTCTTAGTGTCACTGTTCAAATAGTTACTTGCTAGAGCCTTGCTCTAATACTTACTTCTTAGTGTCACTGTTCAAATAGTTACTTAAAAGTGTCCACGTTCAAATAGTTTCGTGCTTGTATTTTTGCAAAAATAGTTACTTGCTAGTGTCTTTGTTCAAATAGCTACTTGCTAATGTCTTTGTTCAAATAGTTACTTGCTAGAGCCTTAGTTTAAATAGCTACTTAGTTTTTTCCTTATTACACTCATACCTCTTCTGCATGTCCTTGTTTTCATTAATTGTTCTGATTTTCATGTAGTTTGTGCGGTAAGAATTATATATGCAGACGACTTGATAACGATTGATAATGACTAGATAACAGACCGAAACGTCATCGTTTCTTCATTTTCTGATGTGTGGTTTGGTCATAAGATTATTTGTGTTGTTTAATTTATTGTTTGTTTAGTTTCTCGTTGTTAAACTGCTGTTGTATGACAGTGAGTGTATGATGTTGTTCGTGCATGACTATATGGTCGTATGACTGTGTGAGTGTATGATTGTGTGGGGTGTTTATCTGCGTAGATGTATAGCAGTGAGAGTGCAAGGGATTGAGTGTATGAAAGTGAGAATACATCATGTTGAGAGTACACGACAGTGAAAGATGCATGGAAGTGAAAGGTGGATGAAACTGCAACAACATGCCACTGGGTCTGCATGACAATGTGTGTGCATGACAGTATGGCACTGAAAATGAACACTGAGTGTATATATGTAAATGTAAGACTTGTAAGAGCGCTTCACTGCGCCGACGACCAGTTACAATATGAGGTTAAGGGGGAAAAAGAGTGTTTGATGTGTCTGAATATTAACCAACATTTAATACACCAATGCTAGTTTATCCTTAACAAAAATGAGTTACATGTGCGTACAATAACATTTTGGAAACAGGCAATTTAATTACATTTCAATAAGCGTCTGATGGATGCAAGTTTAAATGGATCAAAATATATATATATATTGAATATTCGTATTGTACTTTGCAGTTACTTTTTCCAAGAGACACTGAAGCGTTGTTGAAACCGCTGGTTCTCGCACAAACAACTGACATCTCTGGAACGACCAGGCCTAATTAGGCTGGTTTTTGCGCATTCCTGCCTGATATAACCTGATATAAGGTTATCATTCCTGCCTGATATAAGGTTATCTTTCGTGCCTGATATAACCTGACATAAGGTTATCATTCCTGCCTGATATAACCTGATATAAGGTTATCTTTCGTGCCTGATATAACCTGATATAAGGTTATCATTCCTGCCTGATATAATCTGACATTTGGTTATCATTCCTGCCTGATATAACCTGACATCAGGTTATCATTCCTATCTGATATAACCTGACATAAGGTTATCATTCCTGCCTCATATAACCTGACATTAGGTTATCATTCCTTCTTGATATAACCTGACCAACCCTGATAACCAGACCAATGCTAACCTAACCTGGGCCAGGACACGTCTAACTCTTGCACGTCCAACTACGAGCTCTGTACATCTTAACTCGATCATGGCAGATTAAGAGTATTTATTAAGCGTTTACGAACTCCGAAGCACTATTTTTATTATTTTTTTATTTTTTTCTACCACTGACGTGGCCAGACATTTACAATACTAACCAACATGTATACATTTTCTTCTGTCCTCCATGGACAGGGTGAGAGATCTGTTAAACATATAGTTCAGGGATTTATTGAACAATCAACCACAGAAGGTGATTGTATAGTGCTTTTAAAATGCTAAGCTAACCTACATACGTAAATACATAGATAAACAGATTTACTTATGCCCAACATAAAGTGTTCCACGTTTCTTTTACAGTGTCATTAATGTGCATTTACAAAGGTGAAATGTAATTCTGATCGTCTTCCACATATACTTTATACACATACATATACACACACACACACATATACATACATTTACAAATATACATACATATACATACATCTATACACACTCACATACATACACATACATTTGTCTCTTTTACTCGGACAGGGTGAGATAGCTGATAGAGAAACTAGTGTGCAATTAAGCACTTAACCACTGAAAGTGATTAAGATACTTTTACAAGCTCAGGTTATATAGTTACATTACAAAACATACATTGTATAATTGATAAATTACATGGTCAATCTAGGATACAAGTCCAATATATCATGAAGTGTTCCAGTACTCATGTAGTAGTTACAGAGTTCAGCATGCCTCAGCCCAGGAGGGCGAAAGTCAGTCAATATGGGACAGTCAACAAAATAATGTTCAAGTGAGGCACTATGCAATATAGTGGTCAGTATAGTGTGTAGTGTATAATACAGTATAATGGTCCGAAGCACTATGAAGTGACCCTCAACCCAAGCTTATTGTTGATATGGACGACCTCGTAGCGTTTTAAGACTCGTGAATTGCTTCGTATATATCAACAAAAGCCACCATTTAAGAGATAGAGGAACAAATCTCACAAGGTCACACGTAAGTATTTTGAATATCGACCGAAAGGGTGACTCAACTATATTTCTCTCCATTTAGCGTAGACGTGATGAATAGTTCTAGCCCAGCTCGATGTTACCAAAGCTGGTCTGACCTGCCTGTCGTGTTTCAGATGTGACGATGCTGTCAGCTATGGAGACTGCTGTCAAGTGTGACGTCGATCTCCCTCTCAACCTCAAGACTCATGTGAGTACACTTACACCAGCCGTGGCAGAACACCTGTACAGAGTTAGCACCTGTTCAGGGTGATGACCTGTACAGAATGATGAACTACAATTACATTAGCTTCCTGTAAAACATTTTGTTGTATTGACGTCGTGCTTCCGTCTTGCGTAAGGCCAGCAGGGCTTGAAAGCCAACCTTATATGCCTCGTAAAGTCGCAAATGCAAAATAATGTGGAAAAAGAAATGTTCAATAATGGAGGGGACAATTAAGATGGGATAAAGGAGAAATAGTGTAAGGCAAAAGATGACCATGCCAACAGAACCTGGAGAGTCTGTAAGGCTATAATTGTTATATTTGTTTTTTTTTATTTACTATAATTATGAATAAGATAATTATTTATAATTCTTCACTCTAATTATAAGAGTTGCGTACTACCGTTGCAAGATACAACTGAATTATTTTTTTAACTTAGAACTACACAAAATGTGGAACTGGCTTTCAAATTATTTTTCATATAATTAGCATTTAAAGGAGTCAATATTTATCTAATGTCGTTTTGTCATTAGCCATTCATTGGCAAAGTCTTCGAATTATTGAATGTGTTGAATATGTCAACATGGGAACTATTGTCGCTGGCACATATTGTTTTCTCCTACCACCCCCTTATATATGAAAGTGTTTACTTTATTTCATCTTTATTACAAAAAACTAGTTACATATGAGGTACAAAGAAGATTATGACAAATTGTTGAGTTCCTACATCTCCTGAGATGGGGAGCTGGAACCCTGAATGCAGCGTGCATTTCCCCCTCTATATCACCACGCTGAGGCGTTGGAAGCTCTAAGACTTCCAGCCCAAGAGCTTCTAGCTCTATATATATATATATATGTGTGTGTGTGTGTGTGTGTGTGTGTGTGTGTGTGTGTGTGTTAAATATGACCGAAAAAGTAAGATTAATAATTCTAACACGAATTTTCTCAATATTTTTTATGTTTCTTTTTACTGTCAATGGTAATTGAAAAATCAATTCTCCAAAATTCAGTTTTATTTCTAGTCTGACGCGACGATTGAACGCGTTTCGTAATAACTTATTACATTTTCAAAGACTTTAGTTTACACACACAACTGTAACCTGAGAACACTAAACAAAGTCAGCTTATCCGTCATACCTATACTCGCATTTGGGTGATGTGATATGGTGCAACAGTTTTGGATGAGGTGAACAAACTTGTGACAAATACGAGACAGAACACGAAACTATTGGTATTAATTGGATATGAGAACATAAGAATGGAAGTAACTGCAGAGGGCCTATTCGCCCATACTTCCTCTTGATGCTTCTATATTGGTTCGGAGTCTTGAAGTGGGTAGAATATAGTTGTGCATTAATTGTCTGTTCATTGCTGGTGTTGACTTTTTGATGTGTAGTGCCTCGCAGATGTCGAGCCGCCTGCTATCGCTGTACTTATCGATGATTTCTGTGTTGTTTGTTAAGACTTCTCTGGTGATGGTCTGGTTGTGAGAGGAGATTATGTGTTCCTTGATGGCGCCCTGTTGCTTATGCAGTGTTAATCGCCTGAAAAGAGACGTTGTTGCCTATATACTGAGTTCTTTGGAGCTTACAGTCCTCAAGTGGGCATTTGAAGGCATAGACGACGGAAACCAACGTCGTCTATTTGGTTTCCGTCGTCTCTGCCTTCGTGTTGATAGGACTTTTCGAATTCCAATAGATGAAAACGTGACATTATTTTGGGTGGAACAGTCCATATTTTGCACGTACCATGCCGAGCAGCTACAGGTCTTGTCACTGCTAGATACACTTGTATATCACAGTGAATATAATTATTATTAACAGTAATGGTAATTAGAATTTACAAATTATCATCATTATTAATTCTAGTAATAATAATCAGCTATTATTAAAATAAAATTGATAATAAATTATAATATTAAATTTGAATTTATTATAAATTATGACAATTATTAAGAAGAGGAAAGGGAACTATCAGGAGACAGCGCCAAGCTATTACTACTATATAGCACTCGAGGATTGAACGCCGACCTGCAAGAAGCGAGATTTTCGCTCTACCGTCCAGCCCGAGTTGTTATTAAGAAACAAGTATTAAGTAATACTTTGTAAATAAACAATAATTATAACAATAATTATGTAATAATACATTAAGAAATAATTAATAACTCTTTGTAATAATTAAATGATTAATAATTTCGAAGAACTAATTATTAAGCAATAAAAATTTAATAATTAATAAGTAGTAATAATAAAAAGTAATACTTATTATTTGCATCAATTAATTATTATTTAGTAATAATTAATATGTGTTAACAAATAACTAATAATGACCGAAAACCCATTTAAAATGAATAATTATATATTAAGTTATCAATAATAAGAAATAATTAATATTTAGGTAATTATGAATTATTCAGTAATTATTATTATGTAGTTCATTATTAATATTTAAATATTAAGTTATATATAATTTATAACAATAATTGTCAAGTAAAAATTAATGAATTATAATAATGAAATATAATATAAAATGATAATAAAGTTAATATTTGTTATATTATTTATTATTTCATAAATTTTAATTATTTGTATTTAACAATAACAATTATTATTATATAATAATAAATAATAATGATTTTATATTAATAATAAATAATACTTATACATTAATAATAATAAATATTATTATAACATATTATTTTTGTTAATATTAGTACTAAATTATAACCACAGAGTTGTTACAATTATTTTCATCATTTTATTATATATAAATATTTATTAATTATTAATAACTAAATGAAATAACAGACACTGGCCGGGATATTCTTTCTCTTTCAACTTCCCTTTATTACCTCCCGTTCTATTCCCTTCTCCATCCTCCCCATTTCCGCCCTTCCATTCTCTCTCCCCCTCTTCCCTCCCATCTCTATTTTCAATTTTCTATCACTCCCTTTCTCCCTCCCCCTCCACTACACACCATCCCACAACCTTCCCCTACTCTCCCCTCCCTCTACCCTCCATCTTTCCCCTCTTCCCCGTCTGCCCTCCAACCTTCCAGCTGGCAGACATTTCCACTTAAAACTGAATTCATTTTTACTATTAACACATTTAGGTACATCTGTATTTGTGCAGCTGCCCTAGACTTTATGAAGGGGAGTACAGTGTGTCAGAAAGCTAGCTCCGTGGTGCAAAAAATCTCCATCACACAGGATGGTTAGTCATACAGAGGAATGTGATAAGTAGTCTGCACTGGCAGACTCCGGGAGCATTATGAGGATGTCATCAACACAAGAGTGAATAAGGTAGCAGTGATACTAAAAGTCCCCATCTCGCAGGATAGTTAGTCATACAGGGACATATGTTTTGTAGCCTGCACTGGCAAATTTTGTATGCAATATGATGATAACTTCAAGAACACGAGAGTGAATAAAGTAATTGCAAAGCTCCAGGTACCTCATGCCAACTAGTCTGAAAGGTCTAATAACTGGGAATTCGTTGATGTAGTGTGCGAGATCGTGCCGTAGTTCCTGCTCACAGAGTTTGCAACTGGAGTGCTCAGGATTGGGAGACCCGTCACCTACAGCCACCTGCCACAGGTAACGGTAACCCAACCTGATCCTTGCAACCACTGTGTCGCACAGTCTGGTGGACGTTTTGTGCTGCCCATAGATATAGGTTTCAGATCTGAACAAATCATAGCTTTTTATACTAGTGCTTTCAGATCGTTGGGAGTCAGTAATTTATTTCCTATCAGACCTGAGTGTTTGGACCAATACAGTTTTGACTGCAGAGATGGGGATACCTAGATCTAATTCAACTTCAAACTTGTTACACGCTAATTTGGCTGCAATGTCTGTCTCATTATGATGGGTTATATTTATGTGTGATGGTATCCAAACAAAGGAGATTCGAGACACCTATGTTCAGTAGCCTGCACTGGCAAATGAGATCTAGGGGCTTTTCACAGACTCTGATCAACCTGTATCCATCCCGTACCCCCAGATAATTCACCCTGCAAAGTTGGATGAGGCAAGCCCCAAGCGTCTGACCTCCAGCCTTCGACAGACATTCTCACTTATTGATATAGGGTACTAGGAAGAGTACCTGACGATGCACGGGATAATCGGGCTCTCTCCCCACCCCCATTCTCCCCCCCCCTGCCCATCCTCCCATCCTCCTCTAACTTTTCCTACTCCCTCACTTCCCTCTCATTTTTCACATTTCCCACTTCTCCCCACCCTCTCCATTTCCCTCCTCATCCTTTATATCCATACCCCTGCCTCCTTTTTCCCCTCCAATATATATATATATATATATATATATATATATATATATATATATATATATATATATATATATATATATATATATGTCGTACCTAGTAGCCAGAACGTACTTCTCAGCCTACTATGCAAGGCCCGATTTGCCTAATAAGCCAAGTTTTCCAGAATTAATATATTTTCTCTAATTTTTTTCTTATTAAATGATAAAGCTACCCATTTCATTATGTATGAGGTAAATTTTTTTTGTTGGAGTTAAAATTAACGTAGATATATGGCCGAACCTAACCAACCCTACCTAACCTAACCTAACCTATCTTTATAGGTTAGGTTAGGTTAGGTAGCCGAAAAAGTTAGGTTAGGTTAGGTTAGGTAGGTTAGGTAGTCGAAAAACAATTAATTCATGAAAACTTGGCTTATTAGGCAAATTGGGCCTTGCATAGTAGGCTGAGAAGTGCGTTCTGGCTACTAGGTACGACATATATATATATATATATATATATATATATATATATATATGTCGTACCTAGTAGCCAGAACTCACTTCTCAGCCTACTATTCAAGGCCCGATTTGCCTAATAAGCCAAGTTTTCCTGAATTAATATATTTACTATAATTTTTTTCTTATGAAATGATAAAGCAACCCTTTTCTCTATGTATGAGGTCAATTTTTTTTATTGGAGTTAAAATTAACGTAGATATATGACC